GGCCTTAGTTTTTGGATCCTCCCTAGACCAGACCTGACACATCCCACTTGCCTCCTGAATGGAGTCACCACTTTCTTCCCATCTTACAATGTCTGCTCCTGTCCTACCAACTGCACAGCCGAGATGTGCCTCACTTGCTCACTTGAGTATCTTTGACTTGTTGCTCTCTCTGCCTAAAACACTCATTTTCTCCCTCTTACGTGGCTAAACCTGGCATGCTTGCCTGGTGTCTGCTTAGCTGTCCATTTCTCCAGACTCCACTCTGCACATCCCCTCCACTCCTCTGCAAGCATGCACCACATTTTTCTCTAGCATGCTCCAGTGACCGCCACCACCGTAAAGCACTGTCACTGCACCTGTTCATCCACTTGTCTGCATCCCCAAATGGACAGCAAGTTCCCTGGAGGTAGGGGAGCTGACTATATTTAGTCAACGTGTGTTTAGGGAGCACCTACTTCGTGCCAAGGGCTGGGATTCATCAGTAAACACAGACAAGGGTATTACCTTTCCTCGGGGAAGTGGTCAGACAAAACATAAACAGGTGAATACACTATGCCGACCAAATACAGGTTTTTATTTAAATGTCTGCTCAGGTAAACAACAACAGCGGCAGGGAATAATGGGAGTCAGGGTGGCGTGGGCTGGGGTCAGGAGCCCTCCTCTGGACAACGTAGTCCAAGAAGACTTTCTGTTTGCAAAGGGGCTCAGCTTCTTTGGAGAGGGCTGCAGAGATGAGAGCGTGGCGAGCTAGAAGCTGAGAGGCATGAGCTAAGGTGCGCTGAGTGGTACCAGTCCTTCCATTAATACAGTCCTAGGGCCACTGCAGTGCCTAGAGAGTAATCGGTGCTGGGTCCGTGTTTGGTAACTGTCTCAGTTGCATTCCTCAAAAGCAGATCCTGAGACCTGCTTTTTGAAAATACAAGAATTTGGACTCAGCAAGGTCACCTGAGAAGTAATGCCAGGAAGCACAATGATGAGTGGGGAAATGAGACAGAAAAAGGAAAACGCCAACCAAGGGTGTCGTTTGTGAGCAGATGTTGCTGTGGGCAACAGGGGCTTAATCCCATTGGAAGAAACTATACTGAACACACCTCAAACTTTCCCCACAGACAGACAGGGACACTGGGGGTTTATCCACCAGTTTCCATCCCACATTGTTTGGAAGCTGCCAGGGAATTGACTCCCAGAGACTCGCACCGTGCCCCAGTCACAGGCTGCATTCCTGCTGCCTGAGAAAGCCCTCAGCGGAGAACCTCGAGTGTTTGGGGAGGAGCCTTTGATGCGTATGAGGACTGTCCCCCTGAAAATGCAGGTGGCCTGTAGGGTGGGCTGCGGGGATCTCAGCAGAGCATCAACGGTCTCTCCTACAGTAGCTAAATCAGTAAGTGAATAATAAGTGATTGAATGGATAAATGAGTGAATAATTGAAGTGAAATCAGTGAAAGAAGCCCAAGGTCTCTTCCCAGTCAAGGTTCAGAGGTGTTATGTTGGTAGCTTGGAATTTGCCATGGTGGGAGTATTTACACCATGGAAATTGGCAAATGCTGTAAATCAAAGCTTTATCCTCCGGAGATCTCATTGTCACCCCTGGTGCCCTGACCCACAGAGGGAGGGGTATCACAGCCATGGTCGTTTCCCCTGGGGAGCGAGGGTTTTGAGCCCCACATTGGGCTCCCCAGCCTGGGGGAGCTGCACCAGAAAGATGAGCCCCTATAACGTCTGGCTTTGAAAGCCAGAGCGGCTTATGTCCAGGAAAGCTGGAGGGCTGTGGAAAACTGAGACTTAGTTCTTGAAGAGCATACATACATACTCACTTGCTCCAAGTCCCAGTGCAGAAGCAGCAGCTTAAAAAGTGCCTGTGTCAGGTTTCCCTGGTGGTGCAGTGGTTAAGAATCCGCCTGCCAGTGCAGGGGACATGGGTTCGAGACCTGGTCCAGGAAGATCCCACATGCCATGGAGCAACTAAGCCCACGAACCACAACTACTGAAGCCCACATGCCTAGAGCCCGTGCTCCACAACAAGAGAAGCCACAGCAATGAGAAGCCCGCGCGCCAGAACGAAGAGCGGCCCCCGTTCACCGCAAGTAGAGAAAGCCCGTGCACAGCAACGAAGACCCAACGCAGCCAAAAATAAAGGAAATAAATTTTTTTAAAGAAGTGCCTGTGTCATAGAAGAAAGAGATTCATTGACTAAATTTTAGGGCATGTGCTGGAGAGGCAGAGATCTGGTGAAATTTTCTCCAGAGACAGAAGAAGTGGCAGGTGCCATTTTTTTTTTAAACTCTCCATCCACCTCGCGGGCCCAGCATGAGCATGTACCACTTCTGTCACTCTCCATCAACTTAGCTAACACCATGTGCACCAACCAAGTATTTCCCTGAGGACCTACCCTGCCCAACCTGCCTGCCCCAACGGGCTCTTCCACAGCAGCTGCTGCCACGCTCTACCCAGCGGGCATCCCCAGCTGGCACTGGCACCCCTCCAGGTGTCTCCTGCTCCAGGGGCCCAGCCCCACATAGCAGCATACCCACAGCAGTCTCAGTCGGGCCTCAGAGCCACTTCAGAGTGAAAGACACACAGTGAAGAAGTGGAAAAAGATATTCTATGCAAATGGAAACAAAAAGAAAGCTGGGGTATCAATACTTACATCAGACCAAATAGACTTTAAAGCAAAGACTGTAAAAAGAGACAAAGAAGGGCCTTACATAATAATGGAAAAGATTAATCCAACAGTAAAGCAAATATTAACAGACATAAAAGGAGAAATTGACAGCAATACAATAGTAGTAGGGGACTTTAACACCCCACTTATATCAATGGATAGATCATCCAGACAGAAAATCAATCAGGAAACATTGACCTTAAATGACACATTATATCTGATTGACTTAATATATAAATACAGAATATTCCACCCCAAAAGAGCAGGATATGCATTTTTCTGAAATGCACTTAGAACATTCTCCAGGATAGATCACATGTTAGATGAAAAAGTGAGTCTTAAATGTAAGAAGACTGAAATCATTTCAAGCATCTTTTCCCACCACAGTGGTATAAGACCAGACTCTCAATTACAAGAAGAAAACTGTGAAAATCACAAATACTTAAAGGCTAAACAACATGCTACCAAATATGCTTCTCCTGGTCCATGGGATCACTGAAGAAATCAAAGAGGAAATCACAAAATACCTGGAGACAAATGAAAATAGAAACAAAATATTCCAAAATCTGTGGGACTCAGCAAAGGCAGATCTAAGAGGGAAGTTTATAAGCAATACAGGCCTACATCAGGAAACAAGAAAAATCTCAAACAATCTAACATCACACCTACAGGAACTAGAAAAAGAAGAACAAAGCCCAAAGTTAGTAGAAGAAAAAGAAATAATAGAGATCAAAGTGGTAATAAATGAGATAGAGACTAAAAACCAATAGAAAAGATCAATGAAACTAAGAGCTGGTTCTTTGAGAAGATAAAATTGATAAACCTTTAGCTAGACTCATCAAGAAAAAAAGAGAAAGGGCCCAAATGAATAAAATCAAAAATGAAAGAGAAGTTACAACCGGCACCACAGAAATAGAAAAAATCATAAGAGATTACTACAAACAATTATATGCCAACAAATTAGATAACCACAAAGAAATGGAAAAATTCCTGGAAACATACAATCTTCCAAGACTGAATCAGGGACGGGGCAGGGGCGGGGGTGGGGGGTGTATGTGGTGGTGATGGGATGAATTGGGAGACTGGGATTGACATATATACACTAATATGTATAAAATAGATAACTAAGAAGAACCTGCTGTATAAAAAAAATTAAATACAAAAAAAGACTGAATCAGGAAGAAACAAAATCTGAACAAACTGATCACTAGTAATGAAATTGAATCAGTAATCAAAAAAACCCTAACAAACAAAAGTTCAGGACCAGCCGGCTTCACAGGTGCATTAAGCAACTTTCCCAAGGTCACATTCCAGAGCCCATGCACTTAACCCTTACACAAGAATTCCTCTCGCTCTGCAGTGATCTGGTGTTCCTAATGGGGACTCCAAGCTACTATAAGAAGCTGAGTTCCAAAATTAAAATAAAATAAATGGGAGTATTACAGAATGGGTGAGTGTTAAGTGCACTTGATTGACTTTCTTTGGAAATGAGCAGGAAGTTCTTTTGAATTTAGCCAAACTAAGTGGACAAAGTTTGGCATTTGTTTCCTTCCCATCTTAGGCCATTCTCACCTTCTCAGATGTATCTTCTCTCTGGAAGACTTCTCTGAGTTCCTGTTCTTAATTTTCAGTACCTAATTCCCATAGATGCATGTTCTGCACTAGGACAGACTATGACATTAGTTCGTAACCAGCTGAACCTTTTAGTAGTTGACTCAGAAAGAGCAAGGAATACAGAGTTGGAACCACCAAAGGGGCATTGAGGCTGACATATACTGAGATCTTGTCCTCTGGAATAGCATATTTTAGATACCCACCTCCTCTTCCTCTACCCATCAACTCTAAAATTCTCTGACTATGCATTTTTAAAAATCTGTATTATTCCAAAAGACAAAACACGTGTATTGCAAAAAATACAGATAAACAAAAAGAAGCAAGCAAGGAAACGTACCAAATTCTTCCTACCTGGAGGTATCCATCATTAATCCCTTGGTGTGTAGCTCTCCAGAGCCTTTGATGTGAGATTACCTTCTCTACTTTCTGAGGTGTGACAGCTCTTTACACCGATATTTGGCCTCAAACACAGATATTTTGTCCTTGTGTTTAATTTTTCTACAAACAGAATTACTCCAGCTTCCCAGACAGTTTTTTCAGACCCCACCACCCCATTCCCCATCATCACCCTGGCCTTCATTCCAGCCTGAACCAAATAAGATGCCGCACTTTAGAAGAACTCCAACCTTTCTCAGTGTGAGACGCTGAGCTCCTGTTGACAGATCTCGTGAGATCAGCACCATCCTAATAGCCGCCTTCTCTTTTGTTTCTTTGTTCTCCACAGCTTTTTGCAATCTTTGCATTTGCAACATGCGGTGGCTATTCCGGAGGCCTGCGGCTGAGTGTGGACTGTGTCAACAAGACGGAAAGTAACCTCAGCATTGACGTAGCATTTGCCTACCCGTTCAGGTAGGGAATGGTGACTTGTGCTCACTCGTCTCCCGGAGGGGCAGGGCACTTTCTTCTTTCTGTGGTTTCTTTAAAAAATGCAATCTCCCAGGGACTTATGAGTAAAAAGAGAGGATTCTTCCTGAGCCTGAAGAATGCCCAAACAAGTAAAAGGCCTACCTAACACCCTACCCTGGGAAGAGTTATTCCATGGGAGTTGTACTTTCAAACCAGAATTAACTCTCCCTCTCCCAAAAAATGCTACAGATTGCCCAGTATTGGGGTCCATCAATATGGAGATCTCAGTTATACAATTTCTTCCTTCCCGTCCATAATTCTTTAAGGTCTCCCAAATTCTCTCTACAATTGTGTGGTCACCTCTCATTTCATAGTGACTATGCAATCCTGTCTGATAATGCGTTTAATGATATTAATATTGTTTCCATGTGCCATTGTGCTTAGCTTGAATCTCATTAAGTCATCACAGTGACCTTTTGAGGGTAGTACAAGTACCATCGCCATTTTCAAATGAGGAAACTGAGGCGCAGATATATTTGCCCACATTCCCTTGGCCAGTAGGTGGCAGAGTCAGCGTTCGAGCGCACTCGGGTTAAGCCCAGAACTCACATCTTTACTCCTTTACTTCAGTTGCTTGAGATAACTCTTTCAACTTCTTTATAAATTCACTATGAAAGATAAGACCTGTCTATAAAATGATGACTAAATACCTACTAGGACTTGTCCCAAATCAGACATCTTGTGATTCTGATCCATCTACCCAAAGTGGATTAATTGAATTCAATTTCTAAATAATTTGTTTCTGTAAAAGTACCAAACACTTGGTACCAAATAACTGGCGTGATTTTGTAAAACACTTTCAACATGATATTTTGACATCTCATTAATATACTCTCATGTGTGCCCTTCAATTTAGCAAACATTTGACGAATATTCATTTTGTGCCAGATACAGTGCTGGCTCTGGAATTACAGAGAAAAGTAGAAATTAGCCCCTAAAAACTTTGCTTAAATAGGCAAGTACAGTGTTTTTCAAAATCTTTCCCATGGAGCCCTACATATTTAATGTTTCTAAAAAGAAAAGAGGAAGAAAGTAGAAGAAAGAGATAGAGAATAAGAGGGAGAGAGGGAAGGAAGGAGAGAGGGAGGGAGGGAGGCAGAATTATTTTTTTATAAATTTATTTATTTATTATCTATTTATTTATTTATTTTTGGCTGTGTTGGGTCATTGTTGCTGTGCGTGGGCTTCCTCTAATTGTGGCGAGCGGGGGCTACTCTTCATCATGGTGTGCGGGCTTCTCATTGCGGTGGCTTCTCTTGTTGCAGAGCATGGGCTCTGGGTGCGCGGGCTCAGTAGTTGTGGCTCACGGGCTTAGTTGCTCCGCGGCATATGGGATATTCCCAGACCAGGGCTCGAACCCGTGTCCCCTGCGTTGGCAGGCTGATTCTTAACCACTGTGCCACCAGGGAATTCCCAGAATTTTTAAATTATATGATAAAATAAGTTTAAGAAATACTTCTTAGCACTTTGCCATTCTAATACACATTTTGAATCACCAAGAACACAGTGTTTCCCCAAACATTTTTGGCCACAGAAACCCTTTCTCACTGAGCATTTCAGAAGATTTGTATATCATGGAACGCATCCTTAGTATACTGATCTAGTGAACTTTTCCTAGTCCAAAACAAAAGTGCCTCAGTTCACAGCCAATGAATCACGCAGACAGGGCATTTATACCAATGTATTAAATGGTTTTTAAGAGTCATACAGTGATAAAAGTTGCAAACACCTCTGCTCAAGTAGATACTCTCCTAACTAACTAATAAGGGAGTCCAAAGCAGAGAAATATTAAGTATAGAATGCCTGGTAATTTAGTAATTACCAGAGCTTCCTATGCTAGTGGAAGTGGGAGTGGGGATGCTTGACACATCTGAAGGTTCTGGAGGAACTCCTTGGCTTTAGTGTGGAATGGCCAAGCCAATGCATGCTTACTCATCAACACAGGGGATCTAGAAGAGGAGATGAGAATTTTCACTGGCTGGGCAACAGGGGTGGGATGCTTAGTAACATTATTCGTGACATTGTAAGGTCTACATTGCTTTCTACCAGGATTTCCCACCAAGAGATATGGTAGAAGCAGATGACTTGAAGGTCAGTCCCTTAATTTTTTTTAATAAATTAATTAATTAAGTTCTTTATTGGCTGTGTTGGGTCTTTGTTACGTTGCACGGGCTTCTCATTGCAGTGGCTTCTCTTCTTGTGGAGCACGGGCTCTAGGTGCACGGGCTTCAGTAGCTGTGGCTCGTGGGCTCTAGAGCGCAGGCTCAGTAGTTGTGGCACACGGGCTCAGTTGCTCCGTGGCATGTGGGATCTTCCCAGACCGAGAATTGAATCCGCGTCCCCTGCATTGGCAGGCAGATTCTTAACCACTGCGCCACCGGGGAAGTCCCAGTCCCTTAATATTTAAAGAGCAGCAGGTCGCTGAACATTGAACACAGGTCTCTCTGTCCCTCAAACTAAAATAAACCAGTCAAGAAACCTGTGTAGATGGAAAACCAGTGCCTAGGTTGGGGTGGTGGTAGAGAGCAGGGTGATATTTAACTTCACACAGTCCTTAGCTAAGTGAACAATTTGAAAAGGCCTTTCACGCAAACAGTTTCCAGCCTTGGGCTTCTTCATTTTCTTCCTAAGATATATTACTGGCCCAATTAAAAGCAGCTAGAGAAATTGGATTAAAAGGTTTATTACCATCTGTAAGTATAGTGGCCTGCTCATTTGAAAGATTTTTACTTGGGTTCTGAAACAAAAATTATGAACCTTTTTTTTTTTTAATAGCAGAACTTTTCTTCCATACCTTATCTTGCTCTGAAGCTCTCTATATATAACAGATATGAGTCATTGAAAAAGTTGAACAAGGGGAGGAAGGGGACTTGAAACATCCAGCTGGTCTTCCTGAGCCCTCTCCCTGCCACACACATTGCCCACCCCCGGCTGTACCGCACTTGTCATATCTCCTCAGAGCCCTAGGTCTCCTAGAAGCATTTTAAAAACCACCATTCTAGAAAAAAGCAGGAAAGCTTTTGCCACCCTGCAGATCACATCTATACAGTATTTACTGTCTATACTGTTAAGAAATCAAGATTCGCCTATCTCCTCCCACAGAATGTCTTACCTTTTTGTCCCACTAATGTCCATGTAGGAGATATACATTCCAAAGAGGCCCAATTTTACTAGAGTTGCAATTTCAGTTGTGCATTTGGGTACTTTAAAATATTGTGCCACTGTCTTTTCGAGGAAGATTTCAGTAGTAAGAGACACATCTAGAATTTATTCAGATTACTCTGAAGTCATTTGTTTCAGAAGTAAGTTGGGTTAGCAAGATGCTGGTGATGGATATCATCAAAAAGTTACTTTCTTCTAAAATTTTACAAGCCAATGTCTTTGCACAGCAAAGGAAACCATAAACAAGACGAAAAGACAACCCTCAGAATGGGAGAAAATATTTGCAAATGAAACGACGGACAAAAGATTAATCTCCAAAATATACAAACAGCTCATGGAGCTCAATATCAAAAAAACAAACAATCCAATCAAAAACTGGGCAGAAGACCTAAATAGACATTTCACCAAAGAAGACATACAGATGGCCAAGAGGCACATGAAAAGAAGCTCAACATCACTAATTATTAGAGAAGTGCAAATCAAAACTACAATGAGGTGTCACCTCACATCAGTCACAATGGCCATTATCAAAAAAGCTAGAAACAGTAAATGCTGGAAAGGGTGTGGTGAAAAGGGAACCTTCCTGCACTGTTGGTGGGAATGTAAATTGATACAACCACTATAGAGAACAGTATGGAGGTTCCTTAAAAAACTAGAAATAGAACTACCATATGACCCAGCAATCCCAGTACTGGCTATATACCCTGAGAAAACCATAATTCAAAAAGAGACATGTATCACAATGTTCACTGCAGCACTATTTACAATAGCCAGGACATGGAAATAACCTAAACGTCCATCGACAGATGAACGGATAAAGAAGATGTGGCACATATATACAATGGAATATTACTCGGCCATAAAAAGAAATGAAATTGAGTTATTTGTAGTGAGGTGGATGGACCTAGAGTCTGTCATACAGAGTGAAGTAAGTCAGAAAGAGAAAAAGAAATACCATATGCTAACACATATATATGGAATCTAAAAAAAAGAAAAATGGTACTAATTAATCTAGTGGCAGGGCAGGAATGAAGACATAGACATAGAGAATGGACTTGCGGGGAGCGGGAAGCTGGGCCGAAGTGAGAGTAGCATCGACATATATACACTACCAAATGTAAAATAAATAGTGGGAAGCAGCAGCAAAGCACAGGGAGTTCAGCTCAGTGCTTTGCGACAACCTAGAGGGGTGAGATAGGGAGGGTGGGAGGGAGGCTCAAGAGGGAGGGGATATGGGGACATATGTATGCATATGGCTGATTCATTTTGTTGTACAACAGAAACTAACACAGTATTGTGAAGCAGTTATACTCCAATAAAGATCTATTAAAAAATAATATAAATAATTAAAAAAATAAAATTTTACAAACCAATGTCAATGATTTGATCATAATCTTAGAAACAAAACGAGAGTATTCAGCAGTTTCTGATTATTCCGTTTATTGAAAACACAAGGAAGACAGTAAACTCTAATGCCAAGTCATTTGAACAAAAACAATTAGTCTGTAAATGACAGATCAAAGGAAGCTACTTAACTCCCTTATCAGATTATCAAATGTGAGATAACCTCAATTTACAAAATCATAGATAGGGTTTCCCTGGTGGCGCAGTGGTTGAGAGTCCGCCTGCCAATGCAGGGGACATGGGTTCGTGCCCCGGTCTGGGAAGATCCCACATGCCGCAGAGCGGCTAGGCCCGTGAGCCATGGCCTCTGAGCCTGCACGTCCGGAGCCTGTGCTCCGCAACGGGAGAGGCCACAACAGTGAGAGGCCAAACAAAAA